TTTGGTATACCTTTTCTAGGTACGTTAGCCTGTGACCACGGAAATTGGCCGAGTCAAGTGATGGATTAGTACGGAGAGATTGAGACAGAAGGAGGTACTGGATAGAGAGACCGGGATGGTTTTTAATGTGAAGACAACAACAACAACTGTTTAGTTTGGTTCTCAAAGACTATACTAGAGAAAGGAGTTGGCAGGAGTGATTGTTGGGGCCTCTGTGCTTTCCGAACACTCGTTTCTGTCGCACAATAAGTTGTACTCGAGTAATATAGTTTTGTTTGAGTTTTTGTGCCTACTCTTTGAAGCTGTTTTTCTCAGAATTGTCCGTTCTCATTCCGATGTTTTTCTGATACAGCGCTGGCGCTTGTAAGGTATATGCGGCTTTGTGGATTTTATTTTGTTTTTTCTGTTTGGTTTTGGTTTTTGGCTTGTTTCGGAGTTCTTTGGATTTGGTTTTTGCGATTGAAGTTGCACCTGGAAGAATATTTGACGGCATGAAGGCTGCGCTGAAAATGTTCAAACAGGATCAATGATGGAACAGGGTTATTGGTTTGAGTCCTTGCGGCCATGGTGTGCAGGTCGCTACGGTTGTGCTACATGTTTATGTTTTTTTTCTTTTTCCGTGTGGCATTTTTCTTGGTAGAAGGCTCTGTCTACGTTGTCCCCTTTGTATTTGGCGCGCCTTGCCATATATCATCGGTCAGGGGTACCCCCTCTATTTCTATACAATGCTATGTCTTCGATGCTGTTGTCAATCGTCATTGGGGAATTGGTGTGTCATGGCAATTGATTGCCGCAACATTACGAAGAATGGAATGTTTCGTCTGTTTTCGATGTACGATTTGCGAAGTTCGGGATTTGATTTCGTTCACAACGTAGGTTGCGATTTTTGGTGTTGCTCTCAGTACCCAAATATCACAGGATGCGTTTATCAAGTAGAGGGTTGATCCTTTGACGTCTGGTGTACGGAGAAGGGGGGCGGTAACCAGACATGTATGGGTAGGGTATGCAAGAAGAAAATAAAAGGTATTGCTGGAAACTGAACGGAGGTTTGTGTTCGAGGAATAATAGTCAAAGAGGCAAGGGGGGGCCTGTCTTCTGGCACTCCATGACTCCAATGTGCCTCGCGCTGTCAANAGGTAGATATGGTGTACTGTGTTGCCGAGGTCTTCGGGTTTGTGTTTTCATCGTGTTGGACGTTGAACTCAAGATTGGCCGATAGAAAATGCTCTGAAGGATTTGTGCATCAATGGTCTTCATGTTATAAGGATGAGGTATGGAGTCGAGCATTTTTGTGCATTCATGATTGATTCTTGTTTTCAGCTACTTGTGGATGTGAGGTATCCTCGGAAAGTGATTTGTCCCGGACGGTGTTGTATGTGTATGCGTATGTGTTTGTGTTCATTTGTTTCTGATATGACCCATTGGGGTTGTTTCGATGATTTGAGTTTTGAATGATTTGATATTGGAAATTTGGAAAATTCACCAGCGACCGATGGAAATTCTTGGTGGTGTTCCTGGTTTAATGGTTTTCAACCGATGGGAATTCCAATCAGTGTTTCTGATTTAATGGTTGTAGTGAATGTTTTTATCCTTGGAGATTCTGGACACAATGGAGACTGATGGAAATTCTGGTAGGAACTACTATAATAATAGTGTGTCTGGTTTAATGGTTTATTTTTGTTGCAAGAGAATAGGAGGGGATCCGAATACTGTTGGACATTGACATTGATTTCTGGAGCTTTTGGGATGGGTTTTGTGTGATACGTAAGTCCGGGAATAATCTTGACAATGCAGCGAGCAGGGGGGCTGTTGGATGTACTCACAGCATTGACAGATTATTGCAACCGAGGAACGTTCCGAGAAGATGGAGCGGGGAACTTTTGGGGTTCCGCAGTTGTGGTATATTGGGGGAATGGTGGTACCATCTTTGCCACATATTGTTGTTTCCTGGGTATACGTGTCTGCAACGGTGTTGACCACGTGCACTTGGATAAATTTCATCTTCTTTTTCCCGGCTATCACGCTCTGGGCTATCACGCCCGTGTCCACACATATCCACCGGCTATCACGCTGCCAGGCTGTCACGCCTCTAGGCTATCACGCCATCATAACAGCTATCACAGCACCAGCTTCAATACATCAGAGCCATCACGCTCCGGAACATCACAGATGCGGCGGGTTACCACATCCGCGGGCAGTTTACTGTATTTTATCGTTGCCGGCAAACTCGCCGCGCGGTTCTTTTACTTTTGCCGTCTACAGCTGCGCCGGGCGCCGGGCGCACCAAGCTACTCAACAAGGAGGATACACCTATGCATATGGATACAATGAAGTATTGTGAGAAAACAGGCATAACAGATAGACCGCCCGTTTGAGACACATCTCGGAGGAGATATGCTGAAGTATTCGCAGTGGGGGGTTGATGACACCAGCAGCCTAGCCTGCAGTCCTATTGTCTCGGAAAGCGAATGGCATTTTCAGTCGGGCCGTAACAGCGGGATGACACTTAGCTAGTTGCCGAAAAAAATTGTGTCCGTACATCCCGACCGGTTCCTCCCTGGTTCTCACCTATTCCAATACTCTCCATCCTCTTAGACTAGAGCTGTCTACTGTCCCGCATGCGTGTGTACACGCAGCACGTGTGTACACTCAGCACGTGTGTACACGCAGCACGTGTGTATATATGTATGTGCAGTGTGGGTGCAACGGCTGAGCCCCGTGAAAGACTGACCCGTGATTGATTCACGGAGCCCCCTTGGCGCGCTGCAATGCTGCAACATACACACACCCAATGCGCTCGACAACGCAGGGTATTGAAGCAAATCATGGGGGCGGATGACGAGGATGAATCGGTTTTGTCGGATCTCAGGGTGAGTTTCGAAGAAGGAAGTTGTGATCCCTCACTGACTGACAGTCGAAATTAACGTCGGAGAAGAAGGATTTCAAAGACGCCCCTCAAAGATATCGACGTGTGGAGTCCTCCTGTAGGTGTCAATGTGACTCTGCTATGCTTCTGTTTTCCCCATAAGTCACCGTGTAGAGTGGTGTTCGCTTGCAACGCCTCAGGTGAATGTAGTCTTTTGTCTGCTGCCGGGCCGCCCGTCCAGAAAACAACACGCATACCGTGAGTGACACAAGATATCACACCCCCTCCGGACCGATTTCGACAACTCGACTACCTGTACACCAGCACTCAAGAGGACATGCCAAACTCTAGGGATGCGCTTTGGGAAACATCTCGACGTGGTTTCAACGCCGTCATTCTCAGCACTGCCACTCTTTGTAGTCGAGGAGAACAGTCGAGCTCTGAAAATGGGTCCAAGGGGGTGTGAGATCGTGTATGTTATCCACTGAGAGTTGTCTAATACTTGTATTTTCATGTAATAGCGTGAATGTCGCGTACATAGTCTACATACAAAGAGTACACACCTTTTCTCGTCCTTCTGTTGTACCGAAAGATGTAACAACTGACGCCCCACTGCATAAACAAATGGGACGAGATACGCACACACCAAGTACCGCCAGCCGACTTTCGGTTTCACTTTTCTCCTCCCTTTTGCTGTGCACACAGGAGAGCATAGAAGAGATCGAGGAGGAAAATAGCCATTCAGACTACAGCCTAGAGTTTGACGACGATTATGACGGATCAGGACATCCAAGAGGAGCCGGACAATACCAAAGAGGAGGTGAAGAAGGAGAAGGTTCCCATGGCCAGCAAAATTCGCCGTCTGCCGTGTGGTCGGCAACTGGGGTTGGATCGGAAAAGCAGGGGGGGCACCAACACCAACAACGACAACGCTTACAAGAGGGACGGGACCAAGAACGGACGACACGAAGCCATGTGCTCGTCGATGACACTGCCAACATCATCGCGGACCGCAACAACTCAGGCGGGCTACAATTTCCTCCGAAAAGGTGGTTGTTCGCCTGGCCTTTTTATGCGAAGAGGAAAGACGACATGTATGTGTGCGTTATGTCGTCCTTCCTTGATGAAAGTCTTGGTTTTGCGCCGCAGAGCTCGTTGGTCCACATTGGAGTGTACAGGGACGTACAGCCTTCCGATTGGATGGTGATTTGACTGAGTTCGAAAATGAGCGAAGGGAGCACCCAGCAATCACACACAAGACGATCAAGACGAGTCGGGAAGTGTTGGGCAACAAGAACTCGGGTAGTTGACACACGGGCTCAGAGTCCACACCACGCCGTCACAGATCCAACTGGGGTTGGAGCCTTTGTGATTTACTAGTGATTTCGCGGTCCGCGATTCTCGAAGTGAACCATTGTCCCAGAGTTCGCCGACCAACTCCCACCACGGCCGCAGGTCGACAGGACGCCAAGCAGACGGCAACGAGACGCATCAGCAGGACTGCATGGAAACAGTACAGGCGAGGAACGAGCCCTACTCCTCAACGGCGGCAGAATTAGGAACCATGGAGACAAAGGAACTACCAAGTGAAGAGCGAGGGGATCGAGAACCCTCCTTGCCAGTGCAGGTGTCTCCCGTCGAAAGGGTTCTTTGTCACGAGCCGCAAACATGATCATGTCTCGTTGACGGTCCGTACAGTGCTGTACAACTACTCATGTATTGTTGGAAGAGTACCATGCGGCCGCATCCGGTGGTGGGTCTGTTGGAAGTTTTACAACTCTGGAGGTCAACGTATCCCTGTTGCACTCGACCAATGCTCAACAGGACAGTTGGTTCGTTTTCTTCACGCTTGTCGGACGTCCACATTCTGGAACAATGCTTGCATTTGCGGGGAAGATCGTGTCCAACTGCTCTTCGAACGACGCCATCGGAATCATCCCGTTTTCTACATGACAGCATTGCACGGTGTTCTTCCCCCTGGGCTCGACGAAGTGTAGGTCCTCACACTCAAAGCTCGACTGGACGGGCTGCTGCTGGGCGGACACGACGGCGTTGATAGCGGCCACCAAAAGACGGTCACCGAGGCTTTAACGTCGGTGAAACGAGAACACGCTGCTCTGCGGGAGTGCTTGGGCGACATTGAGCGGGTGAGCGAACGAGGCGCCTTGGAGCCTCTCCGCGGCATGAAAAAAGGAGAATCGCCGATAAACACGTTGTGTGCAAAGTGTTGTTCTGAGAAGTCTGCCACCGCCCCCTTGCCCCTCCCTCCTGCTTTTTCCTGCCATGTCTCCGGCCTTTCTTCGCGCACAGGAGCTGTTGACAGCGAGGAGGAAGGTTGAGCAGGACGCGGCCTCGAGGCTACAGGCAGCGCAACAGAAGAGGGCGCGGGCGGAAGCGCGGAGGGTCAGACACTTCGAGCAGCTGGGCGAGGCGAGGAGGGCCGCGGCGGTAGCCAAGGCGGAGGCTGAGGTATGGGAAAGCCACTAAGCACGCCGAGGGCAAGCGTGCAAGAACAACAGCAGTGTGCCAAAATACGTCGCATATGGTCAATCATAAGAGTCTTCTTTGACGAACACGAAAAAAGTGCCAGCTACCGTGCCCGTCAGCAGCATTTTTGTCGTCTGCCCCTCGAAAACAATCAGCCTTGTGCACTTACGCCTTTCCCACCCTTTCCGAACAAAAACCAGGCGTTACGCGCCAGGCTGGCGGACGGAGCGACGGAGCTCCAACACATGCGAGACATGCTGGAAACTGCCCGATCGGCGGCTTCAGCGGCGCAGGACCGGGCCGACCAGTGCCAGAAGGAAGCGGCCGTGGCTGAGGTGGGGGGTGCCGCAACAGGGTTGATTCGGAGGGAAATGCGAGAATGATGATTGGCCTTTGTAACTTCAGTCAGAGCTGAGGCCTAAGAGTAGCGCCGAGATACATAGGCGTTGAGTTGTTGATTTGCTCACTCGCTCGTTGAATATGGAGTCTAGGAAGCGAGGTTTTGGAGGCCCTCGACGACGACAGCAATGATACTCGACAGGAAAAATTGTTCGAATTTTTCACTCGGTCTAGGTTGAATTTTGATTTTGTAAGCTCGACATGGCTATCTTCACAGTGGACACGCGCTAACATCGAAAACATTAGTGACGCTGGGAAGATCTTGGTGGAGTTGGACACGTCTGACGATACTGAAGGAACGACTTGTAGCGTCGAAATACCGAGACTCGAACACACACCAAGGGTGTACGGTACCTCCAGCAAACATGCGGCAATGTGTAGTGCACTCGAACTCGCACCGGCATGCGCCCACTTTGACGGGGACCCCGAGGCTTGTGCGAAGTACATCGCGCGAAGATGCCGAGGCTTGTCCCAAATGTGCTTTCGTCGGAATTCAAGACATTGATATTATGTTGGAGGGGAAGGATGAATGCGTGTGGACAGCGGTGTGAATCGGGTTCCCTGTGTGTCTCCCACCGCAACAAGGATAAAGTGGAGAGCCTTCGGGAAGAGATGGCGCACGTGCGCGTGGAGATTGAGGAGGAGAGGAGGAAAGCTTCTGTCGCCGTCAGAGATGCGGCGGAGAAGATGGAGGTGGGACACGGGCATGTCGGTGCGCTGTTTTGGTTGTTTTATTATCGTGTGTGTGTCTGTCTTGTTTGTGTTCGTACTCTCTCTCAGGGCCTCGCGATTGATACGACTCTCAGGCGGGGTTTTGTAGCAAGCTCTCGCGCACCCATGATTCTCGGCTCTGCAAGTCTGCTTTGCTTCGCTCGTTGGCCTTCCGGTTGCCTCTTGATGGTGCCAAGCTTTGCGAGAGAAAGCGAGAGCTTGAAGTGGACGCCGCTACTAGAGTGGCAGAGGCGCGGGAAAGAGCGGCGGAGGAACAGATGAAGCGCCTCCCCGAGCACCAGCAACAACTGCTCCAGGTTGGTGTTGCCTTTTATCGCGCTCGCGCGGGATTAGTGTAGACGTCGAACCGTGGCCAGTCGACGTTTTCGTCGACCTGCGGCGGTGTGTTCTCTGGGACTCTTTTCCGACGACGGTATCGTGTCCATCACGAAGGCCGTTCGGAGGCGATCAGACTAACGAACACGACGAGACCGCGCGTGGCGGAGGCGCTGTTGTGTAGAATACTGGCGCGCCAACTTCTGTGTGCCATGCACCTGTCAGGCGGGTCATATTCTTCAGTTTCAGTTCTCTCGACAACGTCGATCGCGCACTGCACCGGTGCGCGCATGCTCGTGGAGGGCTGCTCGACCGCGGTCCTTTAGCTGCCAATAATTCGTGTTGCCATCAATGGCACTCCGTACCATATCAAATCGTGGGTTTCGACCCCAGGCAGAAAGGGACCGCGTGGTGAGATGGGAGGAGCGCCTGGCAGCCGAAGCCGCGAGTCTTCAGCGCAGGGAGGAGGCACACAAGGTGGATTGTCTACTGTTACTGTGCTTTGCGTATAGAATTATATTTGACTGTAACATGTGGGGGCCAACTCATCGTTTGGAGGGTAATGCGAAAGTGTGGAGCCCTTTTTGTCCTTCTAGGGTTGATATTCAGGAGGAACTGCTTCCTGCCGCCATTTCATCTTTGCCGTGTCACTTTTGTTGCGAAGAGTGGTGTTCTGTTCACTTCCGTGTACCCTTTTTAGTCGTGTACGAGACAGCTCGAAGATTCTATCGATGTTTGATGGCAGTCTTCTTCTCCCCCACCGCGTCCCACCTCCCCGTGCCTGTTTGGTTTGTCGAACACCCGAAAGCACTCCCTCCGGAACTGCATCCATCGGCATTACGGTGCATGTCATGCATGGTAATGCGCTTCGGCTGCGCACGAAATCCGTTAACCCCTACCCCGCGTCTACCGGTGCCAAAAAAACGTCCCTTCGATCCAGATTGATATGGAAGCGTGTCGAGCGCAGATACGCAGGATGGAGGCGGAAACCAGGGCCCGTGTTGAAGAGGATGCCTCGAGGGAGCGGTCGACTCTGACCAACGCCAAGTCGGCGTTCGAGAGGGAGAGGGGGGAGCTCTTGCGGCGTGTCGCGGCAGCCGAATCGGCCGGTCAGGCAGCGATAGCGGAGGTTAGTGTGATTCCGTTCGCCGATGTTGTGTGTGTGATCGGCAAGGCACACCATTTGAATTAAAGCAGGTGGGAACTAGTTTAAAATATGCCATAGACTTGGGCTAGGATGCGTGGGGATACGTGTAAGTCGACTGTGTTGTAGCATGTGTCGAGCATATTCGTCACAACGGCGAAGGGAGGTTTGACTAGTTGGCGTTAACCACATAATTCTGCTTAACACGCTTCCAACAGCCCGGGACCCTTTTTGTTTGGAGGTCGATCGTGGGTCGAGCGGACATACCTTTATAAGATAAGTTACGAGGAATTCTCGTACTGTTCGACGATTCTCTATTCCTAGGTGTTGGAAACAGGGCCCGGCCTCACGGACAAGTAGTCACAAGCACAGGATGCCTTCTCGATGCCGTTGCAATCGTCGACATCGCACCGAGACAGAAAAACTGAAGCCCTCTACTGAGTGGAATCCGGCCGATAGGGCACACCAAGCACGCGGCGGCTAGAGGCGTTCCATGGGGTCATTTATGCTTTCAGCAAGGACATAGGCCGCCCCGGTGGTCTAGTTGGTATCCTCGAAACCTTCTTGAGGTCAGGGCAGGGGTTCGAATTCCGGCGTAAGCGAGCTTTTCTTGCAAAGTGAGTTTTTCTCTCGCTTCCGCTCCTGGCATGGCGGATAGCGCTAGTTCTTGTGTACTCAGAGGGAAGAGAGTGCTGAACTCTTGTCGCATTAAAAATCAAAGGCAAACAACCGCAGGAGGGGAGGGGAGAGAGGGGCTCTTCTGCGTGACCACGGGTTGGAGCAAACGGCACTAGTGCTGTGGGCGCTGACTTGAAGTGACGAAAAAAAAAAAAGTGCTGCCAGCAACGATAAAAGTAGCTGACGGAAACATGGTCCTGAAAACGGCTGCGTATGTAGCCTGACGCCACAACTAGTGAGTTTAAGCCTCTTAGCAGCAGACTCGTTCAGGCCGACACGAATGGAAGGCTAGTATGAAGGATGTATTCAATGATGGGTAGACTAAAGCCGCAGAAACGCACAAAGAAGCGGTTCGAAAATTCGATGCGTGAACGCCTCCGAATCTTGGATTTTAGGCGGCGTCGCGGATGGCAGAGGCGAACGAGGAGCGTCGGAGAGTCGAGGCCGAGAAGGACGCTCTAGCGTTGAGGGCCTCGATGCTCGCGCCGCAGCTTGCTGCCCTAGAAGAAGGGCGAGCGATGCTAGAAGGGTTTCAACGAGAAGGCGTGTGCTTTTGCTTACCCTTCCTTTTCCACGTGCTCGGCCACCACCACCTGTGGCATTCTCCAACACGCTACTTGTTTCGCCTCTTGAAAATTTTGCGAGCGTTCCGTGAGACTTGCGGGATCGGCGGGTAGGTATGCAGAAACCGTACAAATAGGGTGTTCTTCAGAGTTGACCGGTGTCTGGGTAGTAACCCTTGTCCCCTCAAGAGCGGTACACGCTCTAGCGTTTTGGGTCGCAACTTCAAGAAGCACCTCGATAACCGAATAGAAAGATGTCCACAGGATTCATGGTGATTCTGTGTGTTCCCTTTATGTACCCCTTCCCCACCCCACCTTCCGAATCTTTGTGGGTATTGTCTTGAAGCTGATGAGCACTTCTCCGTGGGCCCAAGATACAGTCAATGGCCCCGCAGAGGCTGGCGAGCTAACTTACAGAGGTTCGGGCCGCCGCTTTATCTTCTTGCTATTTCCTGCCTGACAAAACACCTTGGTGTGTTCGTGCGTGCGTTGGGTGTTTGCCGGCGTTTGCGCCTTCTGTGTTTTGTGATTCTGTGTCTACGAAGCGAGGGAAGAATCTCGTCGTGCGAAAGAGAAGGTCTGTCGCGCTCTGGAGATGGAGGCGGAGGTTGTAGGAAGAGAAGCGGCGGTGGAAGTGAAGTGGAAGGAGATCACCACAGCCCGCCGAGCGATCAAGCAGGTCAAGTGGAAAAGACTACGTTGATATACAGCCCCAGTCTTGGTCTACGGTCTCATTGCTGGTTGAATACTGTTGAATCAAACTTGCCCTTACCCTTCACCACACGTATCAATACTATAAACCACACGAAAGAAGGACCGAAACCCCAGACCTGGCTTCAAGCCTAAAACCCCCTTGACCTTTGTGGAACTCTGCCCGGGCCGGCGGCACTCGGCTTGTCCCCGCATTGGAGGGAGGAATTGTGAATCAAGTCATTGGTCTGATGACGACGTGTTGCAATGCCACGAGTACACTAAGCCCCGACTGTGCGGGCGAACCCAAGGGTAGATTTTTGTATGCTCTCTTGGTGAGTGGCACAACCCCGGCGAACGCGTGAATTGGCCCCGTTCCCTCTTGGCCCGGCATCATCGCGTGCGCTGCAACGGTTTAGATGGAGAGGGGCGTCGTTAACGAGGCAGAAGGGTTGGCCGAACAGCGGAAGGCGCTAGCGCTGGCAAGAGTGCGCTTACACGAGCATCAGATGGAAATGGTGTTGCAGGTGAGCCAAGTCAGTAGTCGTCGTTGTTGTCACCGCCATCATCGTCGTCCTACAGTACCCCCCCCTCGTCCTAGCGTCTGTTGTGTTGTTCTTGATGTGAACCCTCGGCGGATCGTACGAAATATGTTGAAAATGCTAAAGCCCATCGCTGAGTAGGGTGCAGGACAGCACTACACTTTGCGTGGACCCACGAACGAAAAGTGCTGTAACAATGTTCACCTCCGGTGTGATGCAAGATGGAGTCAAGGGTGAACCTGAAGATCATGTGTACCCATTGAGACCGTATCGTGTGGGTTCGCCGAAAGTGCGCAGTCGTGAAGAACAGCAGGCGGGGGGTCTGGGCGGCGGTCTGACCAGGCGTCAACCGCCAGTCCCTAGCGGCGGAGGAGGCCGATGCAGCGCTACCAGGGGGTGCCGCCATGGAAGCGTGCTCATAACAGCCGCTAGCTTTCTGTGTGTTAAAACCACTAAGAAGTTCGAAATCGCCTTCATTGCGAAGCGGCGATCTACATTTCGTGTGTTCCCTGCCATGCCCATCCACGCATATCCTGCATCTCACGCCTTGTTTCCCTTCCTCGCGACGGTTTCTGCTGCTGCCCCCGCTGCTTCCAACACGGTACACATCTTCACCTACTACCTACCTGCTCATGGAATTCTGGTGCTATTCGGACCAGATGTCCGAGATCCGGAAGGCACTGGAGGTAATGAAGCGGGTCGACAGCATCGAGGATGCGCCCGCCAGACGCCTGGCTCTCGAGCTGGGGACGCTGGCGTGCGACCGGGGGCAGAGTGCGGCGCGTCGGGCCGAAAACTCCCGGGATTTTCTCGCCGCTGATGGTGATGATGTCGGGACGCTTGCACGACGAGAGTGGGCGGTACATGGTGGCAGCGATGGCAGGGGATTTCAAATTACGGCCGCCCCGTGCGAGGGAAGAGGTGGTCTAGGAGTGGAGGTTAGGGATCGATCCCACCAGGTGTTGCTGGCACCGTGCGAAGAGACAGGTGAATAGTCCGCAAGAAAGTGTTTGCCGGTGTTCACTTCCGGGCATTATATCTACAGTCCCAATTCATGAGTCGGCTTCCTCAATCACTGCGATCGCCTGTGTCAAGGCAGTTCTTGTTTTTAACATGTGCTACAGGTTGTTGGGTTCCAAAGGTTTACACGTAGGGCTGGCAAGATGAATGGGATTTTGGTGGTCGCCCTCGTACATCGAGAACAAGGGACATTCAAGATGTTCGGTTTGGTGTCGTAATACAGTCATCCATACAACAGCCATGTGTCCCCTGATTGCCCGCCTGTACATCAACGAGTGCGTTGTCAAATCCACGTCTGGCGACCTCGCACGTATCAGCTGGCACGACTACAGCTGCTGCTGCTGCTACTGCTTCTACGGCCACATGTCAAGGGAGGGGGGCAACGGATGTGATGCGGATGGGGGCCGGAGCGTATGCCGACGAGGCGGGCGCGAGAGAAGCGCTGGACAAGGTATGTATGCACAAGAAGTTGAACATATCGATATTCTGTTGAACTGTATACCTTATTTCACTACCTGACCGACTGTATTCAAGTCAGGTTGCAAAATAGACATAAACGACGGTCCAATCAACAAAGGACCCGGATGAGAAACTGCAACAAAGAGGACCTGCCCGACAGCGACCACTTGCCTAGGCGGCACCAATGGCACTTCATCGAGTGTAGGAGGAGGAGATTTCTCTCGCCTGCAGTATTCCGTTGTTGATACTCTCGCTTTGGTGCTCTGGCGGTTAGGTGCGCTCCGTGATAGCCTCGGGAGGAAAAGAGTGGGAAGTGGCATCGGGATCGGGTAGCGGCGGCAGCTGGGAGGGACTGCCGGTTCACGGATGGGCCCGGCGGCTGCAGGCGGCCGCGATCGCCACTGGAGCATATCGACTGCACAATTAAGGAGGCGATCGGCCGCAGTGTGTATTGTGCTCCATCGAGTCTCCCTGGGGACGGAGCACTACATGACAGTTATATCAGTTTAGAATTCCGTGAGAACGTTCCATTCATTTTCCGCGTGGACGGCTGAGAGCTCAGTATTCCGTGTTTTCGGGCTCTCACAGAGCAGAATTTTCCGATTGTTCAGGCCCTCTCACAATCATCGTCTTGACCCTTTTCTCACTTCGATTCAATTTCGTTCCACACACCTTTTCTCCCACATACCTTCTCGGCTGTTGGTCATCTCTCGTCCTGTCACTGTCTCCATCTGTCTGCCTCTCTCTCTCTCTCTCTCTCTTTCTCTCTCCGTTATCTCTCTCTCTCTCTTCTATCCATCTCTCACATCTCCCAGCATGCTCACAGGCTAGATTGCAATTCCACACACCGGACTCTTTTCAGATAGACTGGCTTCTTTTTCGATCACACATGGGCTGCCGTTCTGTCCGTTCGCTCGCTGTCTGTCCGGAACTCACGCACTCCTTTGCGATCACACGAGATCTTCTCCGCTATGTCTGTATCTCACAACCGCTTATGTACGGACGCCTCAGGGATTTGTCCGCTTTTTCCGCCGGCGTTCTCCAATTCGCCGCTTTTCTGACATCTGCAAGAAGATTCTCCGCCTGCCTGCGTTCTCCGATTCTCCGCTTTTCCGACCTCGGCACCTTGCGCAGCTCTCTCGCTCTCTTCCTCGCACACGCGCTCGCGCCCCCTCCTATCACTCCGCCGACAGCACCCCCCACTGCCTACCAGCACCCTCCGTCTAAGTATATGTCGAACGTATGGTTACGTTTTCTGTTTCGGCCAGGAGCTCTCCATCCTTCAAGCGCCACATTTCCAGCAGCATTCATTCCGGATTTTCGGCCGCTGAGAGACGACCTGCTTTTTTTTCCGTTCCTGATTTATTTCTGATGATCACGCTCTCTCAGCTGTATAACACGCTGTGCTTTCTAGAGCAGTACACAAGAGTAGTTTTCGTTTTCTACGGCCGTTCGGTTACATGGCTTCTTCGTGCTTTTTGCGTCGTTTGCGCTCGCCGCCTGTGCGCTCGCTGTCAGTGCGCGTGTTTGGCGCGTGTCTAATTTATTTGCGGACTCCGCGCGGGACGCATCCCTTCCCACCCCTCCGGTGTCGCAACAGACTACCGCGCACGGAAGTATGCGCAGTGACAAGTACACCAACAAGAGATGGCCATCCAATAACAACGAACGCCGATAACAGGCGTCTTGCTGAACGCTTCTCTCAGCATGGCGGCGTAAGCCGCCAAACAGCCTTGTACTCATACGAGTGATTCTCCACGTCAATTGGGTGATCTAGTATGGCGTGTGAAACCCATTTCAACAAAGAAAGGATGTACACGAGCTAGAACAATGAATGCGGCGCAATGCCTATTTACCAAACACCTCTCATGATTCATTCGCCGACAACGCACGGACCGTACACTCACGTGTGTCATCCAGAAGGTACGATAGACGTGTGAGTGTGGTTGGGCGAACAGGGCCAAAGGGCCACCACAAGGATGGATGGGTAGAACGAAGACGTACTAATGTACGACGATCAAGTCACGGCACTGAGGAAACGGACACACATGTCAGCACGGGTGATGGCCCATGTTGACAAGAGAGGCCTCCTGGATCACGAAACCGCACGAAGGTGTCCATGTAACGCGAAGAGTTTCAACCGCTGTCTCGGGCCAAAACGCGGGGATGCACTTCAGAGCCGAGTGAGTGCTGTGCCAACCGCATCTGCGCAGCAAGCTTACGGAGGACTGGTGTGGGGGGTTTTGCGGGATCGAAATAGTGCGTTTAAGCACGTCGGCGACCTGCAGGCAGACGGGACAGCCATACCGCCAGAGGACAGCCCGCTTCACGTCTTCTCTGGGAAACCATGTACTTCCTCCGCCCCAGAAGATAAGCCCGATTTCAGATTTTTCTGCATACAGATAGCGCCCGCACTTTATTTAGAACTTAGCTGTTAAGAAATTGAGACTCACAAAAAATCACAAGATAAGAACTTGAGCACCATTGGTGAACTCGGTTAAGAACCCCACACTAAAAACTAAATAGCGGCCATTTGTAGACCACAAGAGGATGATAAGCAAAATATCAACCCCAGCCTCGCGCCTCGTAACCCATGGTGGAGCGTACATGAGAAGCTGGACGTTGGTGTACGCTCCATCCCGGCGTGTGAGTAGGATCTTAGGCTATGCAAGTCGTCCCTGAACTTATTGTGGTGAAAATGACCTCCCAGGAGGAAAGTAGCCTGTACCGCGGGACTTCGGAGATGATAAATTGGATGGTCGGGGGACGTCTGGGTGTTAACTAAGCAGAGCGCCCGGCACAAGACTGGGGTACTTGTGTCAGGAGGTGTGAACTTGGATCTAGACTAC